TTTTGGCTTAAAGTCTATTTTGTCTGGTGTAAGTATGGCTACTCACACTTTCTTTTGGTTTCCAGTTGTGTGGATTATCTTCTTCCATCCTTTCACTTTGAACCTATCTGTACTTTTAAAGCTAAGAGTCTCTTGTAGGCAGTGTAGAGTTCGGTCTTGTTTGTGTTTTTGGTTTTTTTTTGTCTTTTGGTTGTTGTTTGTATTTTTTTTCATCCAGTCAGCCAGCCTGTGTTTTTTGATTGGTGATATTAGTCCATTTAAATTTAGAGTGATAATTGACATATTAAGTACTTACTATTGCCATCTTATTGATAGTTTTCTGTTTGTTTTGTATTTCCATTGTTTCTTCCTTTTTTTTTTTAATTCATTTCAGGTGTACAAAGCAATGTAATAGTTAGACATTTATACCCCTCACAGGATGTAAAGAATATATATTTTTTAATTGTAGTTGACATCCAATATTATTCTACTTTAGCTTTGTATCGTGCATTGGTCAGGTATCTACACAGTCCATTGTTTCTTTTTTCCTTGGTTTCTGGCTACCTTTTAAGTCAATGATTTTCCACAGTAGTATCCTCTGTTTCTCTCAAGGTTTTCATTGTTGTTGTTGTTTGTTTGTTTGTTTAGGTTTCATGAATCTACACTAGATTTTTGCTTTATGGTTACCATGAGGATTACAGAAAACATCTCATAGATAAAACAGTTCATTTTATGCTGATAGAGACTTACCTTTGTTTGCTTATCAAGGCTCCATCCTTTTACTCTTTTTATATTTTTGATATCACAATTACCACTTTTTCTGCTGTGTATTTGTTAACAAATTATAGTAGCTATAGATATTTTAATACGCTTCTTCTTTAACTCAAAATCTTTCTTCCTCCTTCGGGGTAGTAAAGTGCTTGCACTTCCTGTTTGGGAATGCAAGGCATGTCTCTTTATTGTTCAGTGATGAATACACCATCACTTAATTGGAGTTTTCTAAATCTGACTATATATCTCCACCTTTATAAGTGTGTTGTACATTTTTGTATGTTTTTGTGTGGCTACTGTGAGTATTTTCATTTCAGCTTGAAGAATTCTTTAAGCATCCCTTGCAAGCCAGATCTAGTGATGAATTCCCTCAGCTTTTGTGTGTTTGGGAAAGTCTTTATTTTCTCCTTAAATTTTAAAAAGAACTTTGAATGATAGAGTTTCTCAACTGGCAATTTTTATCTTTTAGCACTTTGAATATGCCATTTTCTCCTGGCCTATAGAGTTTTTGAAGAGAAATCCACTGATAGCATAATAGGGGTCCTTTGTAAGCAATGCCATTTTTTTTTCCTGGCTGTCTTTAGAATTCTTTATCTTTGGTTTTGATGGTTTCATTATAGTGTGACTTGGAGAATGTCTCTTGTCATTGATATAATAGGGTAATACATTAGCTTTTTGAACTTGGATGTCCAATTATCCCCAGACAGTGAAAGTTTTCAGCTATTAGTTCTTGAACTAAATTTTCTACCCCATTCTCCCTCTCTTTTCCTTCTGGAACCACAATTATTTTGATGTCCCTCCTTTAGATTGAATCCCATAGATCATGTAGGCTTTCTCTGCTCATTTTAATTAGTTTCTTTTTCTTGTAACTGTTGTTAATAAATAAAATTTAATTATGTTTGAACATCTAATTGGCTTTATTAAACATCTTATGAATAAAGAAACTTCTCATCTGGCAAGCAGTGAGATACTTCAAGAGGTTACACAAGATGGAAGGAAGTCTTTTATAGAAAGGAGGGTGGGACAAGGGAGTCATCAGCAAGAGAAAAATAAAAGTTCATTGGAAGAAAGTAAGAGTTCAGGTGATGATGGCTTCTCATTACATGAGCTGTAGTGTTTCCATTCTCTGGATTTGTTGCTAGGAAAAAGGAAAATCTTCCTTTTTTCCTGCTGGCGTAGTAAAGTACTTGCACTTACTATTTTGGAATACAAGGAACACCTCTTCCCTCTTCCTGTTGGGGTCTGTACTTGGTATCTTCATGTTTGAAATAGTTGACATCAAGTGGTGGTGGCCTGTGAGAGATCTCTCTAGATGTCTTCCCAACTCTAATTTTAATAGAGGTTTCCCTTATAAATGTGCTCAGGTTTCTCCCCCTTTTGACCAAGGTTTTTTTCCAAAAGCATCACTGATCAAGAATCAGTGTTTTTGAATTCAGTAACTTTTGTCCCTCACTGCTAGGAGGGGCATTTCTTGGGTTTCATGTCCTTCATTGGAGGGAAAGTGCACAGACCAGAAACTGCCTGAGGCCACATTTGAGTAACAAGAAAGGGTAGTGAGAACTCTCAAGCATGTCTCATTCAAGGTCTATATTTACTTGGAGATCATCAAGAAGTGCCAAACTAGGATTACCTTATTAGGATCCAAATAATCTTAGGGATGTGGGGGTTAAAAGAGAGTGTTATCATTTCAGGTCACATCAGAGTAAAGAAAACAGAGAAAAGATTAAAAGATTTCGTGTTTATCTAAAGTAGGCTTTGGCAGAAGCAGTCTAATTCACTGTCAGCTACTTCTCTTCCTCATCAATTTGATTCAGATATTTCTGGGTTTTGTATAAGATCAGATGTCAGGTGGAGACTTCTTTAGCTTTTAGTTGTGTATCCCAGGTTCAGTATATCCTCTAGTTTTGCAGGTGTGTCAGTGGTCAGGAGTACTTGGTAAAGCCCCTTCCAATGGAGCTTGAGGGCTATCTCACTCTGATGACATTTCTAGAATAACCAGTCAACAGACTCTAGACTATGACCAACAGGATCCTTTGAATTATTAACTGGGAAAGCAGCTTTGACTTGTTGATGATAAGCTGGTGCATAAACACTAGAGATTTATGGTAGCTGTTCATACTAGCATGAGGTAACAAAGGATCAGCAGAGGGTTAACTAAATAGGAACACAGATCATTATGATGTAGTACTTCAAAGGCAAATATAGAAGGTTACATAGTTCAGAACAAAACTTAGCTTTCATATTAAGAAGGCTTGGTATTAAGCGATCAAAGGCCTATGAAGACAGTGCAAACTGTGATTGGTAAGACAAAATCTTTGCTCTCCAAGCAGAAAACTTTTCACAACATCTTTTCAGGAACAGACCAATTGTCCAAGAAAACTTTGTCCTATAGACTGATGAAAGAAAATCAAGTTTTAGTTTTACTTAAACATAAGTATATTATTGATATCTAAAGCTTATTTAAAAACCCTTATAATAACTCAATTCTTAGCCAAGTTGACTACAAAGTTGAATCCTCTCTATCCCTCTTCAACTTTTTGTATACATTTAGTTTGTCCTTTATAGCCAGAAGCTCTAGTTTAGACAAAATTATTCTTATTTCCCTTAACAAAAATTTATCTCCTTACCTAATACCTTTTCTTAGTCAAAAACACATCCTATTTTCCTTGCTTACAGAGTTGTTTCCCGTATTGTTTCCATTAATTTTACATTAGCACTTTGTTGACTGACAGAATTATAAATACTTTTTATAATTTCTAGAAACATGTCACTTCATAGTACAGTCTTTTAATAAAACACAAGACATGTTTACTAACAGACCCAAATGTATCATTAGTTTGTCTTCAGCAAGAAAGGCAAAAATAGATGAACCTATTAGAATAATTAATATTTGATATTTTACCTTATTTGAAATGATCTGATTATTCAATATCTTTCCCGTTATTTAATTTAACTTAGCAAAACCTTAAAGTTCCACAGCTATCACACCAGGCTATTTTTCTTACTGGCATATTTGGTAAAAAAAATTATATAAATTTGAGCAGTATAATCAAGTAAGTTGAAAGGTGTTTATTTGCATTATAGTCAAAGTTGATAACTCTAAAGATATATGGATTTTCATTAAGCTAAAAAACTTAAACCAGCTTTTATTTAGTAAAGATTATCTTAGATCATGTGAATTTCAAAAAAAAAATATTCAGGTTGGTTTCTATATATCTGAGAGTTTTGGAATAGCTAATCTTCACAAGTGCTTGACCTTCAAAGCAATTAAATAAAGCTCTTCTTCTAATTAATTTTGGAAATACCATCTGGAAAGAAAGCTTAAAAGCATTCCTGTTAGGGTCTGATATCTGTCAGCTTCCAATTTGGCCAAATTTCAGATCATAAAGTTATTAACTCATTTCAAATAACTGAAGTGTCAGTCAGAACAAAGAGTAAATGTTTCTTGTAGTATTAAATAACCCAATAATTTTCATTTTAGTTTCCTCTTGGCTATTTAAGGGAATTACATGCAGTTTACCAGAGACTACGGTTATTAACCATAAAATAAGCAGGTGGGCCAGAAGGTGGCATGCTAAACTCCAGATATGAAGAATCCCATGTAGTTTAGCAAGGCCTTTGGGTTTCCTCAGAGCCAAACTAATACCTAAGCCCTATGGCTTCCAAGATTCTCTTTTAGCTGTAGCCTTTACTTCAGGTGTCCATTCACAGAAACTAACAGTAACCAAGGAGATAAAAATGTGGACACTGAACTAAGACCAATGACTTAGTAACCAATGAACTAAGGACTGGTTCCCAATGAACTAAGGACTAGTTCCAGGATTGACCTACCAGACCTCAAAGAATGGAAAATGTGGACTGATTCCAAACACATGGAGAATAGCAGCTGCCACCAGTAGTTCCCAATGGGATGTCTTGGGAAGAATTCTAAATCAATGGGTAATTGCAGACTAAACTGTCAGCAGTTTCCCACATGGAATCTAGGGACAAAAATCAAGGGCTCAAGTTTAAATGTTACTGCGGACTAAATCAGACCCAGTCTCATCCCAGCAGATACACCAGCAATTTTCAGTGTAAACTAAAGTTGTAAAATCCAGTGAATGGAGACTGTGAATTGGAACTGGGGAAGGAATTGCAGACTGAACTAAGGGCTAGGAACTTCAGGTTCTAGATGGAACCATCTTTTGCCAGCTTCAAACTGTCCCACTAAACCATGGACTAGAAAACCAATTTCTAGATCAGGAGCTCCAATGCAAAAAGAGAATGAAGCCAACGCCAAGAGGAACTCACCAGCCACCCTCGGAAATGGTGAGAAAGACTGTGAGCTCAAATAGGGTTTGCAGACGCCACCTGGGTTTCTCATTCTCTCTGAATGTCATCAGAAGATACTTTGGATCCAACTGCTGCCAAAAACTTGTTAATATACAAATTTTAAGTAAATTTGAAGATCTAATTGGCTTTATTAAACAATTCTTGAATTGGACAGCATCTCATTTAGCAAGCAGAGAGATACTCCAAGAGGTTATATAAGATGGAAGGCTTCTATAGAAAGGACAGTGGGACAATGCAGTCAGCAGAAAGAGGAAAACGAAAGTTCATTGGAGGAAAGTAAGAGTTTAGGTGATGGCTCCTCATTGGCTGAGCTGTAGCATTTCCATCGGCTGAGCTTGTTGCTGAGCAAGGGGAAATCTTCCCTATGCCTGCTGGGATAGAGCAGTAATTGCACTTCCTGTTGGAGGTCTGTAATTGATGTCTTCCTTCTAGTGGTAGGGTGTAAGAGCTTCATTACAGGTCTTTCTGACTCCAATGTCAGTTGGGGTTTTCTTTATTAATTTTCACACTGTGTTAGTTCAAAATTCCTACCATCTAAGTCGTTTATTCTCCCTTCCAGCTGTCCACCTCTACTACAGAAATTCATTCATTAAATGTTTCAGCTCCAGAATTTCTTCTGTTTGGTTCTTTGTTATGGTTTCTATCTTTCTTGTAAATAACTCATTCTGCTTATTTATCTTTTTCCTAATCTCATTAAACGGTCTGTCTGAGTTTTATTTTCTGGTTTCTTGAGTTTTTACAAAATAGCTGTTGTCAATTCTTCATAAGCTACATCACATTATTCCATGTCTCCAGGCTCAAGTGTTGGAGAATTATTGATATCTTTTGGTGATGGCATAGTTCCTCGATATTTTTTTAAGTTCCTTGTATTTCTGCATGGCTGCTTTTGCTTTTAAAAGGTCTTTACATATTATCTTCAGATCAGGTGATGTGCAATGGTGTTGTTGCTCTAGGAATCTTAGGTTTATGATGCGTAGACCTGCTCCACTCTACTTGTTCCCTTTGTGGCAGAATCCTTAACTTTTGTTTTTTCTCTTGATCTTATAACTTGCCAGGTTGTTGGAAAAAATTTTGGTTTTGTTTTTTTCAAAAGGTGGCATTGAGGCTCCAGTTTATTGTTTTTTCCTTGCCCATAGGCCCTGGACCATTTTTCTGAGAGCACTCAATTACCCATCTTATTCTTACTGCCACACTCAGGAGCACGTACAAGGTGCCCACCACACAGTGGCAGAGAGGTATGGATTTCGCGATTGGGATATTGGGGGTGTCTGCAGCCAGTAAGGAAATCCTCCAGTGGGGTACTCACACAGACTATGTATGGACTTCCCAAAGCCACAGCAAGAACCACATTTCTTTCATGCCTATTGCTGTTCTTTTCTGCTTTCTTCCCTTTCTCCTTCTTCCTCCTTCCCCCAGTATTAGAGGTCCCTCCTCAGAAAAAAGGGTGCTGCTGTAGAAGAACAGACTTCTCCAGCATCACCCCCACAACTGGGTTAGCCAGACAATCATTCTCTACTTTCAACCTCCACCATTAGAGAGGTCACCTCTTTGGACCTTGTCTGCGTGGAGAGCTATTGCTTCCAGACAGCTTACTCCTATGCAGTGTCACCTTGAGGACAGGGGCAGCTCTGGCAAAGCTCTTCACTTTCCATTGTGTCCACCCTCATCCTCATCCCTCTCAAATGATGTGCTGGACTCTCCTTTCTATCAGGCTGAATGTTTACAAATTCTCTCTCACCTGTGTGTTTCTACCCAGGTCAGTAGTCTCCAGATTTTTTCCCTTGACCAAAGCGAGTAGAGGCGGGATTGGTTTACCAACTCCCTTGGGTCCACAAACCTTAGGAAGATCTTATTTGTTTATTTTTCAATGCACTAATGAGCAAGAGTCCTCCAGGTCAGAATGAGGAAGACCTTTAGCTTGTTGCCATGGTATTTATAATTGAGAGGGCTTTGTTGCTAAGCAGTTAAATCTAGAACCTAGTCCAGTGAGAGATGAAAGGGAAGTGATTTTCTCTTTGTCATGTCAAGTTTCATATAAAATCTTTGTTTATGGAGATCAGTGGTACAAACTATGATAAGACTATAGCAAGAAAAGACCATGGAACCATCATTCTACTGCTGGTAATTAACTCAAGTATTTGGCTGTAAAGGAGAGGAATACCAGTATGCATATTTGTGTATACAGGAATACACACACAAACACAACGTGATACTTTGCCAATTTTTCAGAGATCTTAAGAAGGCTCTATTAGTTCTTATTCTGCTCTGTTTAACTTGTTTGAGAGCCACAAAATTGTGTTCTTTAATTGGTTCTTACTCATAGTTTGGAAAGTGCTGAACTAGGTTACAAGGGAGAGTGAGAGGGGAGGTGGTAATTAGGGTACAGACATTGAATTTGATGAAGCTGTGGGGAGACAATAAAAGAATTTACAAAAGATGATGTATGATAGTCTACTTTGAACTTTCTGTACTATTATGGCACTATACCACATTATTCATGAAAATGTTTATATTCTCTCTTTAGTCACTGTATAAAATAATGTTATGAAGACAAACATAGTCTGGCTCAGACATCTTTGTAGTTTATTTTTCTATTACCTGCTTATAAGCTGAGTTGTTAGGAATAAATTTTGACTGATTTATATTGGTTAAGTTCACTCTACTAGCACTATATTATTCATAAGTAATTTTTTCCACCACAACAATAATTCACACTCCATAATATTACCAAATATATGTCAAGAGAGACATGGAGAGCAAATCAGTTTATTAGAGTTTTACTCACTATCTAGAGATGGTGCTGTCAAAGGTTTCATTTAGGGATTTCACTCTCTTCCTGTGGGATCTTGGCACTTGATGAAATATTCCTTCTCTTTAGTGCTACAACAGTGCCCAAGTACCTTAGGAACTCAGGGCACTTCAATAATGAGTGTTGCAATAAGTTCAGCCTGAAATAAGTCCCCCGCCAAATGTCTGCAACAATAAAGCAAAGACAAAGAAAAATATCAGGTCTTTATTAAACATGCACAAAATGAAAAAATCTTGGTTTTACAATTTAAACTACCATTACTGAAATTCAATCATAACAATTTGTGAAAACAAAGACAACAGATATTCAAGTAAGGGTCCTATGTAATCAGGAAATTTTGAAAACCAGGAACTTAAGAAGCAATGTGAACAACAAAGTATAAGTTATTAAAAGCATAGTCATTGATTTAAATATCTTATCCCATTCGGTAGTTTCCACCTTTTATGCATTCGTTCTCCTAAAGGTACTCTGTGATTTTTTTTTCCTATAGCAGTTTTGGCAGTCTGTTGTAAGCTGGCAAAAGCAGGGGGGAAAGGACCAATTTAGTTTGGGTTGAGTATTTTAGCCAACAGTGGTTGAATTGATGTAGCCTAGAGCTAGGCTCACAGGGATAAATGGCAAAATAAAGGGAACTTAAGTGGGAAAAATGGAAAGAAACGTGATCTATGTCCTTTATAAACCTGAGGAGTGAGTTCTGATTATGAATAAAAGTTGTAGTTAACTATTTTATATGTAAGAGTTAGGACAAGTGATGGTGATAACAAGATATGGGTCATGGCCTGGCCATAAGTCAATGGCTAAATATTGTTGCAAATGAGCAGTACGGCTAAAATAAACTAAGTGTTGTATATGGGTAGTCCACATGCTAACTAAATGCAGAATGTGAGTAAAATTATTGGTGGATAATACGTTAGTAAATCAAATGCCCAGTTGTTTGAGGTTTGTGTAGGATTGATTTGGGAGTTGGTATAAGAATAAGAAAGAAAAATAAATAGTGGTTTTAATAAGATGGCTTCTAGTTTCATGGGTTGGAAGTGACTTTGGTAATCAAAGCAAATTGGGACCAGGCACCTGGTCTGTACGGCATGTGGGGATTCTGAGAATGGAAATCTTCTCTGCTGGACTTTGCATGCTGTTGACTTTGGTGGTGGATAGGTAGGTTTAGTAAAATTAAGTAGAATAAAGAGCTCTTCACGGATAAGTGAGAGTAGAGAGAAGATTGCTGTTGCTTTCATGAAAGTAAGATTCCATAAATGACAGGATAATGATTCCAGGGGAAAGAAATCAAGGAACATAAAAGCAAGGTAAAAAAAAAAAGGGATAAAGCAGAAATGAGTACAGGATCTAGAAGATGATAGGTCTTAATTTAGACTTCTGTCATTTTTATATTGCCTACTGTGGAAAGTGGATTTGTTTAGTCTGTTTTAGATCTCTCACCAAAGACTTCACATTTCTGGGTTTTTTTTAAACTAAGCCAAGGGTTCTAATTTTTAAAAATCTCCTTACTTTAATGATCTAAGGAAAACTGTGGATATTTCACTAGATAAATAAAAATAAGCATTTGGATGTAAAATATTGGATGCAATTTTACAAATTCCTAGTCTGTATCTTTGCCCCAACCATTCTGTCCAAATTTGAGCTCCATACCATCTAATTATCTTGACCTGTATGTTCATTTATGGTTCCCAGGTGGGTAACACCGTGTCTGCACATTATGTTTTTACTAATACTTTATTCAAAGAAAAAAAGCAGTAAATAAGATTGCCAACCAGATATTGTGCTAGTATCAGATTTCATTTTAACAAATATGTGATAATACATTTGTATTATTGAGATAACTTTTTGTTTTTATTTTTCATAGAAGATACGTGGATATTTTTTTATTTATGAAATAAATACATTTTAAGGTTGAATTTGGGGGAAAAACACCTACAAAACCCAATTATATTGTAATAACCATAGTTAAGGACATCAGAGTGCTAAGGAAGCAATGCGGAGTAGATGACCTACAATTCCAGGCAGGGAAATCTTTCTGAAAAGCATTGAGTCTTGCCAGCCATTTTTTCCTCTGAACGCTTGGTGTTGCTGGACATTAAGTGAGCCTTAGCTTTGGCCCAGTTTGAGGCCTTCCTCTGAGGAAAAGAGAAATTCCCAGGGTCCTTTATTA